TGAACACTTTTTCTGAATTTTCCATTTTTAAAACATCAATGGTAACCAATAACAAACGAAGCCTCAACTTTGTTTCCGTAAAAATGAAAATTATTAAATTACAAAAAAATAATAGTAGAACAAAAATTTTCAAAGACAATTTTCTTGAAAAGCCCTCTATGAATGAATTTCTTTTTTGAATTTTTAGAAGCTACAAACAATATACTTTTAAAATTTACAAGACCTTCCAATGTCCAGCATTTAATCTTGGTTCAGACGCACCGTGAGGCGCTAACCTTCGCTAAAATATTTCCAACAGATATCTTTCTCAAACCTCTTAATAATATATAATTACTTTATATAATTTACTTTATCAAATTAATGGAATAAAAATTTTGAAACTCGTGGCAACCCTCCTCAAAATTACTTTCCACTGTAAGCCCCCGTAAACTCATTGCAATATTTCATTTATTTCCTCAATTTGACTGAGCTAAAATTTTCAAATAGGTGGCAGCCCTCCTAAAAAATATTTCCAACAGTTATCTTTCTTAAGTTTCTTTAATTTGATATCTTCATTGTCATAAAAGGGTTGCCACATGTTTAAAAAATCAAATTCACTTTAATTAAGGGAATAAGGTAACTGATATATATATGTATATATTAATATGGGTATGAGACAAAAGAAAAAAATGGACAAACTAAGCAAGAAATAAGTGAAGAGTAAAAACATTCCTGAGCTAATTTAAGAATCCAGTAATTTAAAAGGAATGTAATCAGAACAAACCCTCTACATTTAGTTAAGAAATAAACCCTTTTCATACACATTTCGATTGATACCCATATTTTTATAATTCACTTAACTCATTAAAATATTTGAATTTTATTTTTTAACAGGTGGCAGCTCTTAAAAAAATATATCTATTGTCTACAGGTCAAGCTTTTTAATCTTACACTTTATTTTTGAAAATGATGGCACTGACAAAAAAACTAAAAAATGATTTTGTGCGTTAGCAAAAAACGCATTACTTCAAAAAGAGCAAAAAATTAGCAGATTTTTATTTCTTCTTTAGAAAACTAAAAACCCGCAATATTTCATAAAATAAAAAAATAACATATTTTTACATATATCTTTATTCATTCCATTAAAGTCTACCATATTTTGAAATTTTGATAATTAAATTGTTTTTCTGGAATACTGCTGGGACACCCTGTGTTTAATTTTATTCCAACACATTTAATCCTGTAGTTCTCTACTATCTATGTGGAAATAAAAAACGTCAAACCAACATGTTATTTCAAATAATGTATTTTTGACATTTGTGTCCGTGAAGACCCTACGAATGGCTATGCTCTTATAAATATTCTTAGTATAAAATATGTCGACTTTAGTAGCTTCCTGGCGGAATATAATTTATTTTAGAGGAAAATTTCGATTCAATTCTTCTCAGTAGAAAAATTACCTTTGCAAAAATACTAAACACGTTGACATTGAAATAACGAATTTTTCGTTTTTTTGCCCACTTAGGCGGCACAGTGCGCCGTTCCGAGTCGAAGTAAAACTGTAGCCCCCTCCCCTTTGTGTGGCAACATCAAGGCGCACGCCACACATCGATTTCGTTATTACAAAAAATTTTACCTTCTCATCGCCCTCTTCTTAGTGTTTGTGCGTAGAGGGCAAGGGGAAGGTTGCACTTCTCGGTAGAAACGAAATCGGCATAAGCGGCAATCTATGTAAGTACAAGTATAAAATCTATTGAGAAACGGAGAACGACATCCATATTATTTCAACTTATGCCAAAAGGTTGTAATAATAACAATAATAATAATAATAGATTGGCGCTTACACATTTGTTAGTGTTTGGCCGAGCTTCTCCTCCGATTTGTGGCGTGCGCCTTGATGTTGTCACACAAACCGGAGGGTCCTACAGTTTTACGCCGACTCCGAACGGCGATTGTATTTTTATGAGAAGCTGTTTTTCATGGCAGAAATACACTCGGAGGTTTGCCATTGCCTGCCGAGGGACAAGGAAAAACCTTTTTCCTATATTTTTTGCGGTGTTGCTTTGACCAGGGTTTGAACCCAGGCGTTGTGGAGTGGAAGCGCGCACTGCTTACCACTACACCACAGCGTAGTAACATGAAGGAGAATAAAGATAAAAAAGCAACTTCTGAGCATAAAAAACTTTTTCCACAAAGATGTTTAAATGGAAGCTAATATAAAATATAGCATTCCACGATGCTTTATTGGCAGTAGGAGGACACTGATCCTTTTTAATGAAAATTAAAAAAAAAAAAAAATAGGCTTCTAGTTTCGAAGCTAGCATACAATTATCTTTATTTTTTGTTGTTTATATAAGAATACTTGCCAAGTATATAAGTCAAAATTATAAAACATATCGCTTTCATTCATTTATTCATGGAGTTGGTGCTTCTTTTAGGGAAAATTCATACGGCTTATGACCAGATTCATACCATGTAAATGCACCATAGCTTCAATATTCCATTATTCAAATACAGTATATTTTGCTTAGCTGCACATCCTTCTTTGCACGAAAAACTTGTGCACTTAACCGAAAAAGGCACTTAAGCGAATTTTCTTTAGTACTTCAATGAGGAAGGTATCCAAATCCTATGAAACCAAATAATGGAGAAGCCCTTACCACGTAGCAATTGCTGCAAGCGAAATTTTTACCGAATAGTATCTAATTATCTATATAACTACATAAATTTATACCCATTTTCGTTGTTCTGCGAAATGAACAAAATAAATAAAAAGTTGTAAAATTAGGTAATTGTAGGGCCAGTACAGGTAAACGTAATACTTTCTTTGATAATTGATACTAGTCGCACAATTTTTAAGGCAGGTATCGCCAATGTGTAGGTATGCTAAATGCATCTATCGGAGCAGTTTCCTTATAAATGTTAAAAATAATGCCTCTGATGCGCATTTTAGGGTAGGTATCTTAAATGTGCACTTAAGCATAGAGCAGAGATGTAAAAGAATGCATTCTTTTGTGAATAATTATTAACTTGATTTATCGTAAAATGATTGCAGCCATTTTTTGAATTCTTTGACTGGGACTCCAAAAATGAAGTCACCATTCAGACTTCATTTTGTGACTTCGAATTCTTTTTAACCGACTTCCAAAAAAGGAGGAGGTTATCAGTTCGTCGGAATCTTTTTTTTTTTATGTATGTTACCGCATAACTTTGCACCACGTCAACCGATTTCAATAATTTTTGCAACGGAAAGGTAGTGTCTCAGAGGTGGTCCCATACTAATTTGGTTTAGATCCGATCATTGGATCATGAAATATATAGATATATATATATTTTTTTTAAGTCGGTTTTTTTTTGCTAAAAATTACTTGTTTCATTCATTTTTTGGTTATTCATGTATTGCATTCATTGAATAAAAAGTCTCACTGGAGTCTATTGAAGTCAGTAGGAGTCATATGGAGTCATTTGAAGTCAATTTACCTGTGGTATACGAGACATGATCGCAAACTATTTTTACTCAAACAACACTTATTAAACTGTAAAATATATTATACAAATAATTCATTATGGATCTTGTTAGTACTCTTTGTGAAAAGTTAACATGTGTCATATATCCGAATTACAATGTTAAATCTGTTACGATTTTTTTTTCTCTCCGGATTAATACGGCCCTGTATAATACATAATGTGTTATACTTATTTATTTTTCTCTTCTAACTTTACAAAGAAAACATTTTCTAATTGAGTACTACGAGGGTTGGCGTTTATATTTTTCGCCTAATTACGAAATTACAATGCCTTAATATATTCCAATAATTGCCAAAAATTTTAAACTACGGCTCATCAAAGAGAGAAGTTCCTAGGCGTAAAATATAAAGTGCAACCCTCATAAATCACTACACAATGCGTATTGCTATGCAGTTACCGATTGGAGTTATGAATGATCATTCGGCGCTCTGCTTTATTGACTTGAACGTAAATATTATTTATTATCAAAGATACTTCGAGCACTACGCTCTCATGGTATAAGCCCCCGCATCCCTTCGCACTTTGGTTGTTCATAGCTACATCACTGTACAATATCTCTGGCCGTTCTACTTTCGCTTTCTAAACATTGCAGTTTGTCGCTGCAATGTTTTTATTGTTTTAGCCAATGCACCGCTAATCATCAGCTAATGGAAAAGTGCGTGCATAAGAAACGTAATTTTCGGACCGTCGCGATGCACACTCATATCTTTATCGTTGCAATTCCTCGCTACCCAACAACAACAAGCATCACTCAGCAGCCTTCGATTGGGAATCGCTCTTTCTCCGTTACATTTATTGAATTCTTTGTTAAACTATTTTAATTTTTTAGCATACGCATTCTATTTTCAAGTAACTCTGTAGAGTCCTATTTGAATACTCAAATCGTACGGAGCAATAAATAACCAAATTTGGTTATACGCTTAAAAAGTTTTCGTGATTTTGTTTTGAAGTGTTATAATTTGAAGTGTTAAAAGTGTTAGTTGGATTGTTTAAATTGTAAAATTTAAGTCGAAGTGTTAATTGTTCAAATTGTAGTAAAAGTTGAAATTAAAATTTAAAATGTCTAGTGATTCAATTGTTGACTTTTCTTCGGATGACTCGATAATAGATCCCACTTTCATAGTAAGTTTTTAATGGTCATTGATTTGCATATACCAGGGACCGCAAATAACAGTTACTTTTATTATATAAGTTGGCTATAATAGTTATTTTTCAACTTTTAAATTTCGATCGCAATATAAAAGTTATTTTTCAATTTTTAAATTTCGATCGCAAACTAAGAGTTATTTTTAAACTTTTTTATTTCGATTCGAAAATAAGAGTTATCTCTGATTTTTTTTCATATAAAATCGAAAATAAAAGTTTTTCGCGAAGAAAGAAATTTAAATCGAAATTTAAAAATTGGAAAATAACTCTTATTTTGCGATCGAAATTTAAAAATTGAAAAATAACTTTTATTTTTAACTTTTACGGAAAAAATGCAAAAAAAAAATCTTTTCACCAATCGATATCGATAGTAATAAAAAATGTTTCTATGTACTCCTTATGGCAGTAGCACTACCCCTTCATATACATATGTATGTATTTGGAAATTTTAGTGGACTTTAGACCGTTCCGATCATTTTTCCTAAATTATTATTTTTGATTATTTGCGAACAGGCTGAAAGTGGCAAAAACAGGAGAAAGAGATGTTTGTTGCTCGACCAGGCTTCTACTAGTAAGAGATCAAAAACAAGTGACGAGCCATCTTCAACCGGTTTAACAACGAGTGGCAATTCTGAAGATGCCGTGGATATCGCCACTTTAAGCAATACAATATTTAAATACTTTAAAGTTATTAAGCATGTAGGTTATAAAAAAACTCTTAAAAACTCAACTAGTCAGTCAATATGGCTTAAGTTATTTTTGCAAACATTTTGATGGACGAAAAAAGGCACTTAGAAAGAATAAGACTGACTTTTAAGCAAGGAGTGGAACCGAAACCGTAACCGTAACTGATTAAAACCGATTCATTTTTCAAAACCGAAACCGGAACGTTATTTTGATCGGTTTCACACAAGGTACATTGAACAGGTAGTATCAGTAGAGCAGCTGATTTGATTTATTTTCAAATTATTTGGTCTCGAAAATGTCAAATATTTTTAATTTTTTCTCACGAAAATTATAAGTTGTTAAAATCCATTTGCTTGTGAAACCTTTTTCCATACAAAACAAGCGATTGAATAGCAGCTTTTGGAACGTTCGCCCAACTCGGCAGCACGACCGCTGATTACTGGGCCTTGCAAAGGATGGATCAATGCTTCGAAAAGCAAACAAATTTACTAGGAAAGAAAGTTGCATCAATTTTTATTTTTTCCAATTTCAATTTTTTATTTTTTATAATTTTTTGTATTTCACATGGCACGCTTTGATTTAGAAGAAAAAATTCAGAACAGTTGTTGACACTTTCGATACCAGAAGCAACAACAAAATACACGCAAATGTTGCTTTTGCTCTACTGATACTACCTGTTTAATGTGCCTTGGTTTCACACCTTGCTTTTCAGATGCTTTTCTAAACGGTAGTAAGAAATTTATTTTGATATTTCCTATCTTATTTGACTTAGTAGTTTGGGTTTCCGCAGAGAATTTTTTAATAATTGCTGTTTTAATAGTAACTGTTTATTCTAATGAATATTTTCATGTAGTTGAACAAAACTGACTTTCACCGCAAAAGAAATGGCGTGGTAGCTGAATGCCGCATATGTAAAAAGCAGCTGCAAGGTTCGACGCAAATAACTTCGAACTTCATTCGTCACTTACGATTAAAACATGTAGAAGTTTTTAAAGAATATAAAGAAACAAAATTAGAGACACCACAAGCAAACGGCAGCAAACAAGATGTTTTCAATAAATTAACTATTTCCTATATTGCGGATCTTATGTTACCAGTATCTGCTGTGGAGAAAAAATCTTTTACGAAGTTGATTGCGTGCTCAAATCCAAAATTAAAATTAATGAGTAGACCAACAGCAACATCATTAGTAAATACCACATACACATCCATGATTGACAAGTTAAAAATGGAATTGAGTGATTGTGAATTTGTTTGCACTACAGCAGATGTGTGGCCAACTAAGCACAGAAGTTTTTTCATTACATGTCATTGGCTAGATGACTCTCTCCAAAGAAAATCTATTGGCATGTAAGAGATTTTTCGGATCACACGCATTCGACCGTATACATGATGCAATAATTGAAATTCATACTACTTACGGTCTCACACTAAATAAAATTGTTGCAACCGTTACTGATAATAGGTCAAATTTCGTCAAAGCATTTAAGGAATTTGGTGTTAATACACCTTTAATGTTCCTCGACGCTAATGGCAATAACGACGTTGAAGATTTAGAAGAGATGCAATTGGAAGACTTGTCCACCAATTTTGGCGGAAATACATTGCCGCGACATATAAGATGTGCCACTCACACCCTAAATTTACTGGCTACTACTTATGTGTTGAGGATTTTGAAGACTGATACCTCATATGATAAACATAACAATGTAAGTTATTATAATTTGTTGTCTAGTTTATACGAACATAAAATCGAATTATGTAATTCAAAACGAATTTCTTACGACACATGAAGTAAAACGCAAAAAGTTTTCAACTCGGTTTGAAAATTCGTTTATAAATGTGTTTCGAAATAAACCGAATTGAACTGAAGCGTTTTATGTATACGTATAAACTAGGTATGTATTATTATGACAAATAATTTAACACTTTCCAAGAGAAATAGGATTATTAAAAGTAAATTAAAAAGTTTTATAGGTAATGAAAAAATGCTCTGATATTTGGAACAAAATAAACAGGCCGAAGACTTCTGAGATCATTGTTTCGGTGCTAGGCTCCCAATTGCAATATCCCGTCGTAACGAGATGGAATTCCTTATATGATTCCATTAAAGGTTTAATTTCTCACAAAGAAAAACTAAGCACTTTGTGTGAAAAGCTCGAATTGACGAAGTTTCACGAGAGCGATATAAGGTATTTGGAGGAGTATTTGCAATTGCTGCAACCAATCGCAGATGCTATCCAGTTTTTGCAAAAAGACAACGGGATGGTGTATGGCTTTCTGTTACCTACGCTGGCAACAATTAGATCAAAATATAGGAAAATGCAACTAACTCAGGCCATGCATTATCTTCAGCGAGTAGCGAATCTTTTGGAAGCAGACTTGGAAAAAAGGTTCCATAAATATTTTTGTTTGGAGGAGGTTAATGATGCCATTGTTGCCTCAGCGTTATGTCCTGAGGTAAAACTGAGATGGGTACGATCCCTAAATCCAGAATTAACAAACGAAAAAGTTGCCGAGGTCAATGAGTTGGTGAAGAGCATTGTGGTGAGCGAATTCAATACAGATACGGAGCGAGTCGATAATAGTGAAGAAACAAATAGTCAATTTTTCGACTTTTCTTTTATAGGTAATGGCAATCTATTTTGTCATACATATCTAATTATAATTAAAATAATTGATAAACATTTTTAACGTCTTTTTCAGATGAGTCTACACAACAACTTGAACTATCGCAATCGTCTATTGAAGGCGAGTTTATAGCCTATATGGTTGATAAGTCTCCGAATATAATCATCTTACACCGCTATCCTACTATTAAAAGGGCGTACATTAAATACAACGCACCTCTGCCTACCTCAGCCCCCGTAGAGAGACTATTTTCGTTTGCCTCCTTACTTAATGCACCACGTCGAGGACGTCTATCAGATGACTCATTCGAAAAGCTGTTGCTTTTAAAAGTTAATAATTCACTATAAGTTCCCTTTGTTTATATTTTGTTAATAATGCATATTGTTTTATAATAAAGTTGTTATTATAGATCATTATAAGTAGTTTGTATAAATTTTGTTGCAAATAGTTAGTGACTTCACTCAAAAAATGAAGTCAGTAAGTGACTTCTCTAAATGACTTCAAAGTCGTGACTTCAAAATCGTGACTTCAAAAAGACTTCAGACTTCATTTTTTCATTCTTTAGTCAAAAAGCTAGTCAATAAGTGTATTCGAAATTGGAGTCATTGAACTCGACTTCAACTGATTGCATTCGCATATGAATGCATTCTTTTACAACCCTGGCATAGAAGCAGCAAAGCAAAATATACTGTATAGAGCTCTACTATAAGAAGTGTGGGGCGCGACATCATCAAACACATTTTCTTTGTAATTCTTAGATTTCCACCCATAATAAAACAAAAAAAAAAAACAAATTAAAAAAACATACAAAAACCGTTCCGTTATTACTTAATATTTAACTTTCTAATTTACATTTGGTTTTAATAGATCCTGTATGCGTGGGCCAGAGATGCACCAAGACTTGAGTTGCCGGATGGGGTTGGATTTAAGGTTGGTCGAGAGACACCCATAAAATATATTGTTCTGCAAGTACACTACGCCCACATTGACATGTTCAAAGGTAAGTTTGCTTAGCGTTTAAACAATGATTCAACTCTCCTAGTAAATTTAGATCAAATCGTTACGAAGAAAAAAAATTGTAGTACGGAACTTTTTATGCAGTTACTTCTATTTGACACATACATAGATCGTGGATGCGCTGGTTTGCCCCTAAATTTCATATGGGAACATTCCGACATCTTGGATTTTGGTTGTTTTGTTTTTGGTTTTTTCGCGATTTGCAGACTTATTTGGCATTTTTCGTTAAAAAAAGATTAAATACATATATTTACATATACAGTTTTTTTTTAAAGAAACATTGGTTTTTGAAAGTAATTAGCAAAAACTGCGATAAATTGGTACATTGTCACGGTTTTCGTAATTTTTCAACAATTCGGTTGAAAATACGTAGCATATTCCGACGCCAAAGTAAAAACAGTGGCCTTTTGAAAAATTCAACATGAAGTCTAAACTACGGCGTCTAAACTAGTGCCAGGCAGCCAGAAGCCTCGCGAAGCTATGTGTGGTACGTGTGTATTTTGCCTGGCACTGGTCTAAAGTAACCGTAAATTATATCTTGCTTTACAACTTTTAAGCCACTGGAGAACCCAACACTAGAAATGACAAAGTAACAGCAGGTTCTTATGTTTTTGGGGTTGGTGATTACGAACCTAGAGCATGATTTTTAAAATTCATAATGACGAAACCAATATGGCGGCCAAAAAATTAAAATCGATTCAATCCGATTAAAACGTTTTGAGATTCGTAATAAGAGACCTTATGAACCCTTGATTGTAAAGTTTTAACCGAATCTACTCGAATTAAAATTTTTTGTTTACCAACCCCAAAAAACCCCGGTGGAAAACTTTTCAAGCGAATCGGCATCATTTCGTTTTGCTGCCATATTGGGTTCCCAACTTTTAATTATTCAAACCTGACCTCAGATTCGTAATCATCGGCCCCAAGAACTCCAGAGGAAAACGTTTCAAGCGGATCGGTTATAAATTTTTGGTCGCCATGGACTCGCCATTATGAAATTTGTTCGTAATTAGCAACCCCCCAAAAACACAATAAGCTGCTACTTAAAGTTTTAAAGTAAAATATATGTACATACTTGAGACGCCATGTTAAATTTTTCAAAATACCACATTCACTGTTGCCATCTTTTGAGTTTCAAAAAGCACCAAACCTTGGAAAAAAGAGCGTTTTACCGCACTAAAAGCACCAGAGTTTTTGAGCCTAATGGCTGAGCGAACCGCCGCTAATTTTCCAGCGATGTCAACAGGTGCGACGCTGAGCATATCATTTAGCGGTAGAGTTGGAGTGGTCCGGAGCGCCCCGCTGATTCCAACGAGGGCCGAACTTTGCACGCGCTCTAGATTCCTAACAAGAGTAGACTTTTCCAGTGGTTCCACCAGACAATGGCCCCATATAACAATTGGCTTGACTATGGTTTCATACACCCCAGGCCCCATCTCTTCCCTAAAGTATCTTTACAGCAGTAAAAGCCCTGCAAAAAGTGGGACTAGGTTAAGTACTAGTACAGGACCACGCTACCTTGCAACCAACACTAGTAGCCAAAATGGTCCAAATATATGGAGAAAATATGGTTACTTTAATATTGCGATGTCATTGGACCTGAACACCTCTGGTCCAATGGTGCATAACATGGGACCGCTTCTGGTCTACCACTGCATAATATGGGACCTCCTAGACAACTACTGCTTTTGGACCATGGCACATTCGGCAACCGAATCATATTGCCACGAACAGGTTGTGTTCAACACATATATAGTTTTTTTTACATTTGAAATGGTCCAAGTCAGCATAACAAGTTACTAGTATGCAACCTGGTCCTTTTGCTCATACTTTAAAACTACGACCCAGTGGACCACCTGGTCCTCAAATTTTTGCAGGGAGGCCACCGATGCCTTTTTTACTCGCTCCTCGATATTTTGCTTCCATGATAACTTCCTGTCCAGGATCACGCCCAAGAACTTGACCCTGCCAGAAAGAACAAGGGAAACACCTAATGAGGGGACTGGGCTTGAGGTGAATAGTACGAGCTCCGTCTTTCTAGGATTAATAGCGAGTCCACAGCTAGAAGACTAGTTTTTGACCAAGTTCAAGTACCCTTGCATGAGATCATACAGAGTGTCCAGGAACTTTCCTCTGACGATGAGGGCCACATCATCCGCGTAGGCAATAACCTGGCATCCCCTCCTTTCCAACTCCTCCAGGACGTCGTTTATTACGACTATCCAGAGAAAGGGGGAAAGGACGCCTCCCTGCCGGGCGCCTCTGCTCACTTTACTCTGGTCAGAGGCATTTCCCCGTTCCGCTATGACAGTTCTGTCGTACAACATGCAAGAGATGAGCCCAACTAAGTGGCCAAGTCCAAGCTTAGTTAGCGCTCTTACTATCGCCCCAGGTAACACATTATTAAAAGTCCCCACGATATCAAGGAAGGCCCCAACTACAAACTCTTTGTTCCCAAGAGACTCCTCTATGACTTCAACGACTGAGTGCAAGGCAGATTCCACGGATCTACCTTTTAGATACGCATGCTGAGAGAGGCTCAATCGCTCTCGAGGAATCCTGTTTCTTATGTACAGGTCAATAAGCCTCTCAAAAGTCTTCAATAAGAAGGAGGAGAGACTGATTGGTCTGAAGTCCCTCGGAGACACATGAGAGCTTTTTCCTGATTTGGGGATGAAGGTAACCCTCACCCTCCTCCAGGCCCCCGGGATGTACCCCCTTTCCAGGCAGATCGCATAGATTGGGGTGAGCCAGCGACACGAGACCTCCACAGCCTTTTGAAGCTGCGCAGGAATAATGCCATCCGGTCCAGGAGACTTGAAAGGCTTGAAAGAGTCAATCGCCCAGAGCAGTCGGAGTTTCTCCAATAGTTCACCGGAGAATATAGGGCAGCCAAGCGTACCGACACCGGTAGGCTCACACGGTGAGGGGTTTGGTGGGAAATGAATGTCAAAGAGTAGTTAACGACGCCCCTCCGCTCAGGGCCCAGTTTCTCTCTTCGTCCCTCAAGTATCCCAAAGGTACGGGACTCCTCGCGAGGATTCGCCCAAATCGAGACGATTCATGACAACCTTCCACTGTTTCACAGAAATTTCTCCACGACTCAGTTTTTGCCTTTCTTACCTCGGACTTATAGATACCCCAGTCCGACTCTGTAGAGTTCCCAGTCGGAGTGTTGTCCACTCTTCCTGGCTTTGTTGAAAAGATGCCTGCTCCATGCCCTAAGTTCCGAGAGTTCCATCGTCCACCATTTCGGTCGGGCTTTGCCCGAGGGCCTACTCAGCGGGCATGAGCTTTCAAAGGCACTCCTACAGACTGATGTAAATTTCTTTGCCGAGCCCTCAATCGAGATTTCAGTGCTTAAGTTTACAGGAGGGGCCTCTGGAAGTAGCCCCGCAGTTTTTGGCTGTAGAGGTCCCAATTTGTTCTCCTATAATTTCTATAGGGGATAATTTTAGAACGGTTTTCGTCCATATAAAACTAAATATATCTATGGTCCGAGAAGGAGTGGTCCCGAGGAACCCTCCAATCGGAAATACGGGATAATAAAGAAGACGAGGCAAGGGTAAGGTCAAGGACCTCTTGCCTGGCCGCAGTGATAAAGGTCGGTTCATTACCTCTATTACAAATACCTAAGTCCTGACTTAGAATATAATCAAAAAGTGACTCACCTCTCGCGTTGATGTCTGAGCTTCCCTAGCACGAGTGCATCGAGTTTGCATCCGTCCATTAATAATATCGGCTTTTCGACGCCTCGTTTCGGCCATAATCTCACGCAGTAATAGTGTGGTTCCACCTCGTCCTCATGCGCCATGTAAGCAGATACGAGCCAGAGCTCTCTGGCACCGCCCCCCCAAGCTAACCGTCACAATGTCCGCATTGCTGAAATAAGGTTAAATTATTGTTTTGAATTCGTGTCTGATGAGCATGCAAGATCTTGGTCTACCTGCTTGTTCCTGCACCATTAGCTTAAATTTAAGCGTCCTGATCCCGGAGATACCGCTACTGCTCAGCAACGGCTCCTGGATCAGGACTACGTCGGCTTCACCTTGCTCAAGGTGGACTAGGAGATTTGCGGACGCCGCCTTAGAGTGTTGGAGATTTATCTGCAGGATCTTCATCCTCCAAAGATTTCTCCAGCCACGCCAGTTCGACGTCCTCGTTGACCGAACCGTCATCAGTTGTCATAGAACCGTCCGATGCTGATGACGGATCCCTCGGTTGAGAGAGCATCCCCAGCACTTTCGGCTTCTGACGTGACGGATCCTACCTCCATGCTCATGGGGGTTTCTCCCGCCTCGGCCTGACCCATCGTTGGCACCTCCGGAGGTTGAGAGCCATCCCTCCAGGCATCGGATTGGTAGACCCTAAGGACTACCCTTTCGAAGCCATAAGATATGGCTCCCTCTGATTCAGCGAGGGGACCGAGGGACTCCGCGTTAAGTAATATCAGCGCTTGCCCATGCGATTCCTCAGAACCCTCAAACCTGACAACTCTCCAGTTGTGCTTGGGCAGTTGCGGGTTGCAGTACCGGAGGATTTCCTCTATATCCTCTGGTGCGGAGGGCTCGGTGGGGAGCCAGGCATGCGCACGCGGGCGGGAAGGAAGGTCCTTTTCCTCCACGGCTTCTAGCTTGGCTCCCTTCCAAACCTCCCTCACCAGAGACACTGCAGCCTTTTACATAGATGCCGACCGTTCGTCGGCGCAAACAATCTTCTTGTGGATGCCATGATGCCATCCAGCATCCTCGCATCTTGGAGGTGGCCCAGAGCTTCCTCTAACCACCTTTACGAAGACAGAGGAGATGGCTGTTTCCACGCGTTTTTCTCCCTCTAGAAACCTCTGTCTCTTGGGAGCTGAATGATATGCGCTCGCATCTCCTTTGGTGGAACTCTTTGTACACCCAACTTGACTGCATAGCACCCCTTTGGTCCACTCGAGCGTTTTAGCATGCTTGTCAGACAACTGAGAAACATCCTGAC